CTAAAACAACATAAATTTGTAGCAACATCAACTTAGCCATATAAAAGAGAATCTCATATCCAATTTATATATAAATAGATATCTAGAATCATTTGATAATGTCTAGAAAATCTTGTTTACTTGGCAAAGAGACTTGAATCCCTTTTTAGTTGAAAAGGAGAAAGAGCTACTAATTAATAAAGGCTCTACACATAAAGATGTATGTGGGCCCATGTTCACCCAAGCAAGAGGAGAACATGCTTGTCACTTAACCTTTAATGATAGTAGATCATATTTTGATTATAAAACATAAGTCCAATGCGTTTGAAAGGTCCAAAAGTTTAGACTTAAAAGTCAAGTGACGAACTAGTAAAAGTGTTAAGGCATTTCGATTAGATCGAGGTGATAAATACTTGAATGCTAAAATTTTAGATCACCTAAAAGAGAATGAGATTCTCTATGGACATTAAATGTAAGACATGATCGATCTATAATGAGTCGAATCAATATCCCTATTTTATTTTAGGATAAATACTCCTTAGTACAACCTTTATATTGAATTGGGTTCCAATTAAATCTATTTAAGTAGACTCATATGATATATGAAAAGGAAAGAAAATGAATTCATCTTTACTTAAGATTTGAGGCTATAAAGTATATGTTGATAACGATAAACTAAAGCCTAAAATCAATAAAGTGATAATTTGTGAGATATCTAAAGCAAACAACAAGATGTTAATATATTACTACTAGAAAAAAATGTTGTTCATGACTAGACATACTATATTCCTTGGGAAGGAATTTATGAATGCTAGAAATAATATGAGTAAATTTGAACTCAATAAAATTTGGGTAGACTCACAAATTGACACTTTACTAAAGGAAGCCTAAGTAGCATGGTTACAAAGTGTTGTAACTATCCCATAAATAAAAATACAAGAACTTTATAAGTTTAAAAATTCATCAAAAGATAAAAGGATATAATCTTCTTATCTCAACACATGGTGATGTGAACCTTAAAATGGATGATGAAGCTAGCACTTATGAAATGATAATGTTAGACATTGATTTTTAAAAAAATTAAATGAAAAAGATGTGTAGATGACACATCCCGATGGTTCTTAAGAACATGCAAATAAGATTTGTAAAATGCAAAGGTCAATTCATGGACTTGAGCATACCGCTAGGAATAAAAATCGATGTTTTAATGAAACAATCAAAGAGTTTGATTGTTCACCAAAAAAAAAAAAGATGAACCTTATGTATGTAAGAAGTTAGTGGGAGCCTACTAGTCATGGTTATTCAACATAAAAAATTAAACAAAATACTCCTTGGCTATAATCATGTTGCAAACTATAAGAAATTAAGATATCTAAAACTAATTTCCTAAGTATAACATGGGAGAGCAACCTACAATCCAAGAGCATAGATCTATAAAAATAGATCACTTAGAATGTAAAGATTCTTCTACAAGCAGATACAAAGATATGATACTTAAAAAGTTTAGTATGGAAAAATCAAAGAAAGATTTATTCTAATGTCATATAACTTGATGGCCGACAATAAAGGATTCATAGCGCAAGCTAAGGAACTAAGGTCTCTCAACAAGTAGAAACATGTACCGCATCGCTACCATTTGATTATAGAGAAAAATAGTCATGGAAATATACGGATAGAAAAATTCCACACTAATGACAACATAGATGACCTTTTGACTAAGCATTTGTCACAGTTGAAACATGAGAACCTTACTTGATCGTCAAGCTTAAGGGACGTGGTCGGTTGTCTATAGTACAAATGGGAGATTGTTAGTGTAGATCGAACCATGTTTGGATGGGTTTAAGCTATTGTATCATTGCATGATTTATGATAAGGAAGTCTTTCTATTAATTCTTGTCATTTACATTTATTGATTGAATAGATTTAGATGAAGTCCATATGATATGCATTTGCATTAGTCATTGATCGAAAGATGTGAGACAACACTAATGCACATAAATGATATCATTAAATATCCCAAGTCGTAGTATTGTCAAGAATGAACATTGACTATATGCACTTAAATTTGTGAGTGCTATGCTCATGCTATATGATAGCAGTAGTAAATCTCACATCATTGGTATGATGATGCCAAAGTAAGCACTTTAGTGATTTATGTTGAAAAACATATCATTGGACTTAACTTACTATGAGAACCCATTTGGTTTAGTCTATAGGAATCTCATACAAGATGGGTACAAGGGGTCCTAGGACTTGAAGTCATCACGGTTATTTCATTAGAGAATTTATGCACTTTGACACTCATTTCGATGGACCTAGTAAACGAGTTGCATGTGGATGATTAATTAGATGCACTAGAAATCTAATAAAGGTAGGTGTATGACTAAGATAGAAAATGTCATTCCTTGTACGCTAAAGGAGTTATCACATTACACTTCGATGAATATCTACTCAAGAAATCTATAGCCATAGTAGGAGTATACCAATAGAGCATAGTTAATTTACTCTAAAAGCTAAGACATTTGGAAATCGAAGAAAAATTATGTGATCATAATCGAACAAGACTTATAACCAAGTTCAAGATCACACTCGTGATAAGTTGACATGAGGACAGAATTGTATGCTAACCATCCTTATGAAAGGTAATGATATATTAATTAATCCTTCTAGAGAATTAGGTAGTCACGATGCCTTGCTAGAGGTCAATCTTGATTTATGTATCAAGAGATAAAAAAGGAATCTTTTATTCATGATACATTGCCAATATATTTAGGAGCCTATTGAGTCACACACATAAGTTTAAGTATTCAAATGATTAAAGAGAAGGAAAGACATTGGAAAAGGTTTTCAATTTTTAAAGTTTCCTATTTGAAAAAAGGTTTCAAAAATAGAAAGTTTTCTAAAATGGAAAGCTTCCTAAGAGAAGCAAAGACATTGGAAAAGGTTTCCAATTGTTAAAGTTTCCTATTTTGGAAAAAGGTTTCAAAAATAGAAATTTTTCTAAAATGGAAAGTTTCCTTAAATGGAAGTTTCCTAAAATGAAAATTTTTATATTTTAGAAATTAGTTTCCTAATTTGGAAGTTAGTTCCAAATTTGAAGGTAAATAACCTAAAATGAAAATAACTTTCCTAATTTAGAGTAAAAGGGTATTTTGAAAAATTATTTCCTAATATGGGCCACCTAAAATTATCTAAGATTATTTATTTAGAGTAAAAGGGTATTTGGAAGTTAGTTCCAAATTTAGAGTAAATAACCTAAAAAGCTCACATGTAAAATAAATCATAATCCTTAGAGGATTAGGAAGCAATAACCTAGAGTCCTTAAGCGACTCATTGCCACCTTTACGTATCCTCGAAGGACAAGGAAGTCTATCACATAAATATATGAAAGAGAGAGAGGTGCGATATATAAGTAATTTTTAAGAGAGAGAGAATTCGACCAACAAAGAAAAAAGGATGAAGGCACATGACCAAAAAAGAAAAAGAAAGAAAAATAGTTTTTTTCTAGAAACCCTAAGTACGTCATCATCTCTCCCTCTTCTCTTGGGTTGTTGCAAACTTGCTCGGATTAGATTTTTATAGGAAACATTATATAAATAAGAAAAGATAGAGTTAGCACTCTACCAATTTTGAGTGCTTCTTTGTGGGTGCTTGGACTCGCGTGGATCATCAATAGAGGTCGGATACTTGGATAATTTTCTACTCAAGAATTTAGATGTGTACTACAAGAGGTAATTCTCTATTCATTTCTTTAATTCATGCATATAGAGTTAGTTGATTTAACGATATGATCTTGGGCCCTCTAGATGGAGGAAAATTTTTGTTTATTTCGCATCTTCATAGGATACATGATCCTTCATTAGTAATACTCGGTGAGGCAAAGGAAGAGTGGCTAGGCTAGATTAGAGAAGTTTGCAACATATCTCTTACTAGCTTTTCCACTTCGTTTTTTGAAAGTAAAGGTATCCGTAGGATCTTATGTTTACTGGTTTAGTGTTTGGTTTCGGAAGAATGGTGTGGTCTATTACTTGATGTGGTGGTAGTTGCCTCGGCTCATCAAAAACATCATTGTACTTCTCTAAGATGGAAAATAGGTCCGGATGTGTACCCTTTACGGCTTCCTCGCCGATCATTATAAACATGTATCCCGTGACCCCTCTTAATCGTTGTTTAAATAGCTTTTATACTTTTTTTCCTTTTAATAAGTCTGTAGGGTCCCTCTTCTCTTTTAGCCTTCAAAGTAATCTTTTCACTCTCCTTGTGTATTCTCTATTTTAAGGTCAAAGTATATAGGGTTAAAGTGTTTCATCCAATTCAAGCCCAGTACTACATCATACCTTCTTAGTTCTAATATTCTCAAATCAGCAATATAGTCTCTACCTTGCATTACCCATTGAAATTTCCTACGTCTAGACTCACTCTTCATTCTAGCCCCATTACCTATTGTCATTGTCAATGGGGTGGTTTGCATAGTAAACAATTTCAATTCTCCTACTAATCCTTTATCTATAAAGCTATTAATGCTCCCACTATCAATCAAGATACTAATACTCCTCTTTTCCACACACCTCTTGATTTTAAAAGCATTAGGGGAAGTCTTACCACTCAAGGCATGTAGGGAGATCCTATTGTCCACTTCAGCCTACAAGCTCATCTTCCATAGCTAGCTACTCCTCCTCTATAACATCACTATTTAGTTGTTCTCCTTGCTTTACCTCCTCTAGCACCATATGTAGTAGTTGCTTCAACTTACACTCATGCTTAGTGAAGTATATGTCCCCACCCTTAAAAAACATTTTTTAGGTTCTCTTCTAAATTTAGTTCTAGTGTTTGGTTTGTATTGGTAGTCCTTTTGTGGTCGAGGTGGTGGTTTCTATTGGTGGGCGATTAGTATATGCTCGGTTTATTTATAATGATGGCGAGTGTTGGGAAGTTTTTGCTTCAAGTTGGTGTGGTGTATGTTGGGTGGTTTGTTTGGGTGATATGTGGTCTTTCGTAGGGCCTTATTGAGCTTGGCTTGTTCAAAGGCTTCTCGAAGATCTATTGGTTTGAACCTCCTCATAGCCAAACTTAGATTCTCCCTTAATCCTTCCATAAACACCTTGACCAAATAGCCTTTCGTAAAGCTTGGATTCATCCTTTTCACCAAGGATTTTAGATCCTCTCCGATATTCCTTCATAGTTCCAATTTGCTTTAATTTGTGAAATTCCTCCACTACAGCTTGTCCCTTCATGTTCACCAAACCTCCTAACAAATCCTCCACAAACTCTTCCCATTCAAATCTCTCTTTACCCTCCTTCCATTCCCGAAACCATATGTCAAGCTCAACATCCGGAAAGATGGTAGTAGTTTTAACTTTAGCTTCATCTCTCGATTTGATATACTTGAAATACCTTTTGACATTTTTGAGCCCACGATCGTGGGTTTGTTCCATCAAAATACTAGAATTCCATTTTAGGCCAAAGTTGGCTGTATGTTTCAGGAAAAGGTAGTGAATCTTGGTTGGTAATAGAGTATTGGTTAATGAAGTGAAAAGTAGTGGGATTTCTCGTGTTTAGAGATTGAACATCTAAGAGTGTGGGTGTGGGTAGGATTGCTTTTCCCACATCTACATTATTATTTAAGGAGCTACTAGCCTCCTTGGAACTACCGAGTAGGAAAGGGTTGTAGAGCTCTCACAGCCTCCAAACTTTACAAGGTCTGCTGATTCTAGGTCAGCATTTGTGTGTTTTGCTCCAGGTGTTGGTGAGTTTCTGTTTGTATCTTTGATACTTCAGCTTGCAATAACTGAAATTGACCTTCCAAGTTTTTCATCTGTTCATTCAGGGTTTTGAGCGTGATACCTTTAGCCATGGTTTCTTGAGTTGCAAAAGCTCTGATACCACTTGTCAGGTACCTATTATGTTGATGACTTTTTGGGAGGTTGAAGAAGAGAAATGTGACAGAATAAGGAAGAGAGGCAGCGGTAGGGTAGAGAGGAGATAGAAAGAATTTGAGAGAGAATGATATTTTGTTATTTCTTGACTGCAAATGATTACATTAGTCCTGGATTTAAGGAAGCAAAAATGCTTCTGGTGCCAACTGTGTAACTAATTGGGATTTTGTAACAGAATGCAACAGAAAGCAACAGAAAGTAAAGCAACAGATTGTTATGCGTGCTTAGATGACTATATCCCTCCTTGTTACCCTATTTGAACTATACCCAAATTAAGTAAACGACAAGCCTTAAGCCCTTTTCTTGTCGTTTGGTTTTCATAACACTCAACAACGATATGTTCATCAGAGAAACAGAAGGTTGAAAAAATTAAAGAGCAGATTGAGATAATGAAGATAATTTTTTTTTAAAAAAGGAACTTAGTGCGAGATAAGAATGTGGTCATGCCATCTACGTTATTTAAGCTGCCAGAGCCGATGGTCTTGGTCATTCCATCACCATACATCATGACATTCCAATGTTGGTTTTCTATCTTCAGATTCTCTACGCATATACCCTCCTTTACGTATACAAAAAATCTTGATTTGCTCTTTCTGGGGATGGAATCCACTGCCTCACTTATAGTCTTGAAATCCCCACTACCATCCTTTGCTACTGTTAGATTTGATTCAGGATTAATTTCCTCCTGTAGCAGTCTCCTGTCCCTTCTGTTGACCCACCTAGGGAAGCCCATGTCAAGGTCATAACTGTCAAAAGTTTGCGATGAATCGAGATGCTGTAATCATCAAGGATTTTCAGTACATTGGATGCAATTGCCAAGCTGTTGCTAGTGAACTCAGTGGAATTGGTCATAGCATATCTCACCACATCGGTTAATATCGAGTGCTTGCCAGTACTTTTCAGCCCAGCAATGCAGGTATCCTGATCAGTAATTGCTGTGCTTAGCCAGGTTCTGATGTCGTTGATTTTCGAGATCAATAACATTGTCTTAACTCCTTGACCTACTTGCATGGATGACATGGATTTATTGACTTGATCAATGGCATCCTGAAAGAGAGTCTCACAAGCATGCAATGCAGATTGTACTAGGGGATCATTGGTCTCATTTTTATAACTATTTGAGGACACGATCCATTGAGGCAAAGAAGAAAGTTTTGTGAGCTCATTGAGTGAAACTTGGAGAGACAAAAAGAATAACATTTTAGGGTCTGGGTTTGGATTGGTATCATTCGAGGAGGCTTTAAGAGATGAAGACATGCTTGAATGGCATGAATCTGGGTACCTTGTCACGTTACACATGGCTCTGATGGACTGATCTGAGCTAGTTTGAGATGAAGGATTTTTGTCATTGGATTCGTTGTTCTTTGGTACTAAAGTACCTACTAATGCACCAATAACGATTGCTACCAAAACCACGGCAGAGACAACGATAATTATGAGACGTTTCCAGGCCTTCCTACGAAATGCTTGCTCTGCTTTGTCATCTACTTTGCTATAGCTCGTGTAAGAGTTACCTTGATCCATTACTTTTCTGGTTTTTAAATTTCCTACATGCTATTGCATTTTTCTTTGAAGCTCAGGATTTATAATGTATTGTGGCTTAACAGAGTCAACCAAGCACAGTACATTTTGGAGCGTGTGAATATATTTTTGCAAGCAAACAAAGCATTATAGGGTCGGGTTTGGGACTTGCTAATCATTTTTTAACGGTAGAGCTAGCAAACCAGTCATTTTTTAACGGTAGAGCTAGCAAACCAGTCTTTTTTTAAAAAAAATTTTTACCCTTTCTCTCTCTATTTCCTTACATTGTATCTTTACATGGCATGAGCTATGGAGACAAAAAGGACTAGTAGGACTTGGTCCCTAGTTAAATGCAGCTTCCACGTGCCTGAATTGAAAATTTCTACAATCTGGCCGGCTTTACCTAAGTCCACGTACAAGCGGCAGACAATCCTACCATGAATTGCTATTCTTTCTACTCTTTCTTGCATTCCATGCCAATTGTAAGAGATTACATGCATTAAGTATAGCTCCTTATTGTCGGTTCTATTGCAGAAATACATGATATCACTATCAATAAGAAGATATCAGGAAACAGCTCTATCATTATATTATTATTATAATTAATATTATTATTATCTATATGAAATTTAAAACAGCTCATTGAGATTGATTGAATATTGACGTAACGGGAAGCTTATAAATAAATGGATAAATACAATTAATTTATAGATTCGCACACGAGTATCAAATACCAATCCACTACTATCACAAGTTGATTCATGCACAAATACCAAAAAAATATGTTTTAAGGTCCATTGATTCTAAAAATATCAAAAATTAGAATAGATTGAGATAATCTCTCAAAAATTTTATTAATCATCCAAAAAATCTCCTTATAGCATCAAAGGCTTACATATAAATTTTTTGGGTGGGGGGGGGGGTGTTAAACCCTAAACCAACTTGAAAAAAGAAAAACAAATAAAAATCCCAAGAAAAAAACCCAAAAAAAAAAAAAGAAAAAGTCCATTTAGATGGCCTAAACGTAGTTAGTTTTTTTTTTTTTTTTTTTTTTTTTGAGTCCAAAATCACAACTCCTTATGGCATAGCGATGACTTTGAATTGTTGGCCCATTTTGTGTCGAACTAGGCCTAAGAGACCTTAAAATTTGATCGATAGTTTTCGATCCTACTAATCCGTTTTCAGCTTCACTAGTGGCCACGCTCATACAACCACTCCATAAACTCTAAGGCCTACTAGTCCACATCATTCCCCCCAAGATAGAGAAAATTCATCCTCGAATTGTCCGCATCATCAAAGGGAATCAAATACTTGACATTAAACACATTTGTGGTGCAAATATTACTTGGCAACTTAAGGTGATAAGCATTAGGATTGATCTTGTCAATTATCTCCACATGAAGAATCTTCTTTGCCGCCAATTTGTTGGGCTCCCTCATAGAAAAACGATGTTTAGTGAGGACAATCCACATAAAGTCATCCTCTTCGAACTCCACATGGTGACGTTTCTTGTCCGCAACTACCTTATACCTAAAATAAGACTAAGTCAAATTATCATGCACAACCTTATGAATTTCTTGTAGTTCAATCACAAAATCGATCGCTTTGTCATGAATTTTAGTCTAACTAGGCAGAGGATTCAGATCCAAAGTGGCCCTCGAAATAATATAATACACTACCTAAAATGGACTAAATCTAGTACTCATGTTCATAACATGATTATAAGAAAACTCGACTTAGTACAACTTCGATCTCAACTCCTTACATGATCACCAACCAAGCATCATAATAAGTTTTTCAAAGATTGATTGATAACTTCAATTTTTCCATTTGTTTATTGATGATAGGCACTATTGAATCTAACTATGTATTCACCATCTTCCACAAGCTACTCCAAAAGTGACTAAAAAACCTTGTATCTTTATCAAAATAATTGAAGTTGACAGATCATGTAGACGATACACCTCTCAAAAATAAAGACGAGCCATATTAACAACATCTATGGTTTTCTTGCAGGGAATAAAATGAATCATCTTAGAAAAATGATTAACAACCACATTGATGAAATCATTACCTCACTATATCCAAGGTAATCCTAAAATAAAATCCATGTTGACATCCACCCAAGGTCGAGAAGAGATCGGCAAAGGCATGTATAGTCGTTTATTAGTAGTTGTTCCCTTAGACACTTGGTAGATTCAACAACCCTAAACAAACTTCTCCACTTCCTTACAAATGTTAGGTCGAAAGTAAGAAGCTTGCAATAACTATAAGGTTTTATCTCCCTTTACATGACCCTCTCCATACAGTTTCTTAATGATATGTAAGCACAAGTCGCAATCTAGAACACAAATATGATTTTCTTTAAATAGGAACCTATCATGCAGTAAAAAATCTATCTTCTTTCCTTTACAAGCTTTTCTCATAACAATAGAGAAATAAGGATCAGTATTAAGTAAATCATAAAAGGAATCTAAACCATGTACCTCAACTTGCATATTTTTCAACAAATAGCTCTTCCTACTCAATGCATTAGCCACTTTATTAGTTACTCCAGCCTTATACTTAACCATAAAAGTGAACTACCGTAAATAAGTAATCCAATTTGAATATCTTATCGACATCATATCATATCTATGTAGATACTTTAATTCCTTATGATTAGTATATAATATGAATTCTTTATAGGAAAAATAATGCTTCTAATGTTTTATAGCCCGAACCATTGTATAAAACTCCATGTCATAAGTGGTATGATTAAGCTTTGCCCCCGAAGGCTTCTTACTGAAATAAGCCACTAGTCTACTATTCTAGCTCAACATCGCTTCAATGCCTAGTTTAGATGCATCATTGTGTAACTCAAAGGGCTATAAAAGTCTAGCGAGTACTAAAATCGAGGTAGTTGTAAAACATGTTATGATCCTCCGAAATGCCTCTTATGTTTCTTCGATCTAAAAAAAATTTACACCCTTCATGTAGTATGTAATTGGAGCTATAATACTACCGAAGTGAGGAATAAAATACCTATAAAAGCAAGCAAGCCCATGGAAGCTCCTAACTTTAGTAAAGGTGCTTGGCCAAAGCCATTGTTTTACCATCTCAATTTTGGACTCATCACTTGCAGCCTTTCTCTAGAAACCATATAACCAAGGAACAACATCTTGGGCATCATAAACACACATTTCTTTACTCGTAGCATAAAACTTTTCCTTGTGAAGCACACTTAAAACCTTCTTCAAATGCTAAATATACACTTCAAGATTAGCACTATAGATCGAATATCATCAAAATAAACAATAATAAATTTATCAACAAATAGTCTCAAAGCTCGATTCATGACACACATAGAAGTACTAGGCAAATTTGATAACCCAAACGGAATCACTAACCATTTGTACAACCCTTTATGTGTCTTAAAGGCTATCTTCCACTCATCTCCAAGTTTGATATATATCTAATGATATACACTCTTCAAATCTAGCTTTGTGAATATAGTTGCACCACCGATCTAATTCATCATTAAGTTTAGGAATAGAAAACTCGTACCTAACTATGATCTTGTTAATAGATTGAGTGTCTACACACATTTCTCAAGAATCATCCTTCTTTAGCATCAGTAAAGCAAGTATCGCACAAAGACTCAAACTTTCTTAGACATACCCTTTGGCAAGCAACTCCTTAACTTCTTATGCTCGATAGGACTCATTCTATTATGTGGTGTGTTTGGTAGGATTGTACAAGGCTCCAAACTAATCTAGTGTTGAATGTCTCACAAAGGTGATAATCTCTTAGGCAACTCATTTAGAAACAAGTCATAAAATTTAGCAATTGTAGGGACTACTCGCTCTCAATATGCCTCATTAATGCTAACCTCTTTCCCAATCAGTACATAAACCACTCGAGAATCCCGTAATTCCTCTTCTAATCCGACTAGTGACACTAGCTTGATACTATCTCCAATAATTTTAAAAATAGTTAAAACTTTTCTAGGCACAACCATAATCTTTAAACCATTAAACTTATGACTATATGTATTAGCTTGCTTATCATGAACTACTTTCCTATCATACTCCCAAAGTTAACCCAATAGTAAATGACATGTATCTATTGCAATGACATCATATCACACATCATCCTTATACTTAGAGCCAATAGAAAAAGAAACTAGAACCTATTGAGAAATAGTTACCTCTCCCTCCTTTTTAAGTCAAGCTAGTTTGTAAGGCTTAGTGGTGCTTCTCTATTTTAAGACCCAATTTCTGCACTACTTTATCGAAATAATATTCTTATAACTACCAAGATCAATGATAAAATGGTAGGCCTTATCCCGAATTGTTCATATAGATTGAAAAATATTAATCCATAGCCAATCACCATCAACAGACTTTAGGAGTTAAACAGGATCTTCTAACAACCAAGTAATGTTTTCACATCGTTAATCATAACCTTCTCTTTCGCAGCATCTCTATCATCATAAACTAAATCACTAATTAAATATGCATCATCTTCATTGTAATCATTAATATCTATAAAGAGTGTTTTCTTCCCTATTTTTCAATACTCAAGTTGTCTATGGATAACTTAACCATGAAGGATCATGCATCTTATGGAGGTGCGTAATAAAATAAAAAATTTTCTCTATTTAAAGCTCTCAAGATCAAGCTATTAAATTAACTAATCATATATACATAAATTAAAAATGTGAGTAAGGGATTATCTCTTATATCGTAGATTTAGCCTTTATAGAATAGGAGTCGTCCAAGTGTCTTACCTCTATCGATAAACCATACAGACTTAAACACCCATTAACGAATCCACGTAAATCATAAAGTGTTACCTACAATCCCGTTGTATAGTTAACTTTTCTCTAGAAATCAAATCAAGGTTTTTTTTGTGATAACTCGGGCTTTTTAAGAAGAGATGCAACAACTCCGACTTTTGGGAGAGAAACATTTTTCTCTTTTTTTTCTCTTTTTCCATGTATATCTCTATTAATTATCCCTCTTTGCCACCTCCCTCTTATTTATATAGGGGTCGATATCCTTGTCCTCCTAGGATAATGAGTTATAATGTAGGTGAGTTTTTTTTATCCTATCCTTGTAAACCCCGAGCCTTATCCTTTAGGACTCAAGCTTATCCTCTCATCAAAATATCCTACATGCTTTCAAATTAAGCTTATTAGCTCAAAATCTTTTGGTCCAATTAATTACTAATTAATTTGGATTATCCAAATAAATTATGATGATATTTTTAAGAAGCTCACATTAGAAAATAATTTTTCAAATTACCCTTAAATCTAAATTAGGAAACTAGCTTTCCTTTTAAGTAACTTACTTCTAAATTTAGAACTAACTTTCAAATTAAGAAACTAATTTCTAAAATAGGAAACTTTTAATTTTAGAAAAAATTTTCCAAAATAGGAAACTTTCCAAAGCAAAAAACTTTTTCCGAAATAAGAAACTTTCAAAACTAAAACCTTTCTCAAAATCTTTACATCTCTTTTATTATGTGAATGCTTAAACTTATGCATGTGACTTAATAGGCTCCTAAATATGTTGGCAACATATCAAGAATAAAAACACTTATTTTATCACTTGATACATAAATCAAGATTGGCATCTAGTAAGGCATCATGACTACCCAAATCTCTAGGAGGATTAATTAATTTACAATTACCTTTCATGAGCATGATTACCATACAATTCAGTCTTTATATTAATTTATCACGAAGTGTGATCTCGAACATGGTTTATAGTCCGTTCAATTATGATCACATAAGTTTTTTTTAATTCTTAAATGTATTAACTCTAAAGTAAACCAACTATGGTCTATTGGTATACTTCTACCGTGACTATAAACTTTTTAAATAGATATTTATCGATGTGCAATGTGATAACTCATTTAGCATATAAGAAATGACATGTCCTAATAACTATCTCTACTAGATTCCTAATGCACCCAATGAATTACCCACGTACAACTCTTGACCGAGTCCATTGAAACGAGTGTGAAAGTACATAAATCCTCTAATGAGATAATGGTGATGACTTCAAGTCAAATGACTAGTTGTACCCATCTCGTATGAGATTCTCATAAACTAAATCAAATGGATTCTCATAGCGAGTCAAGTCCAGGTGATATATTCTCTAACATTAGTTATCTAAGTGCTTGTTTTGACATCACCATATAAATAGGTGTGAGATCTCATATTGCTATCTTATAGCATAAGCATAGCACTTATAAGTCTTACCACATATAGTCAATGTCCATTCTTGATAATGCTATAACTTGGGACATTTAATGATATCAATTTAAGTGTATTAATGCTTGTCTCACATCTTTCAATCAATCATTAATGTAATGTATATCATATGAACTTATATCTAATTCTATCAAAATGTAAACGATAGGAATTCATAAAAAAGACTTTTTTATTAATAAAATAAAAATACAATATTACAATAAGTCAAACCATCCAAAAAAGGTTGGATCTTAGGCACCTACACTAACACACACACCTAAAACACTTTATACTACTATCAACTCGCCCTACTAGGCTATCCAAGCAATAATAGTGTTCTTACTACCTTCCTTTTCGTGCGGCTCGCATTACCACCAATCGTGCCACTACTACTCATCGTGCTAAAAGGATTAATAAAAATGTTCATACAATGTAACCGCTTCTCAACTCCGTAATGCTTTTCGAAAAACAACAAAAAGATATATAGGATCAAACATATTCTCAACCTCGCCATCAACTCGATCCTCTATCTCCTACGGTTCGTTCCGAGCTAGCAACTAGTAAAACTCGATAGTATAATCATCTACTAACAAATTTCCTTGTCTCAAATCTTATAACTACTAATACATCATCCTTTGAAAATTATAAGGTAAGAAGTTAGTACGCATGTGTTTCTTCATCTTTTTCCAAGAGTTAATCTTAGGTTTATCCATCCCTGTTTTCGGTCGGTTTCAATTGGTCCCACCAACCTATTTTTCTTTTTCCGAATCCGATTGCTACTAAAGACACACACTTGTCTTTAGGAACCTATTTAAATTCCTAAATCTCCTACACTATAGCTAACCAATCTAGAATCTCTTCTCGCTTGGAGGGTACCATAAACTCGGTATTTTAGTCCACATACCAATTTTCCACCTTCTTTTGTCATCATCTCTCGCAAGAATCCTCCGTTGCATGTATGGAACATCTTTTTTATCCTCCTTATCATCCATGCCGACCTCCGATGCCTCCCACTTATGATTGCAAAGCAACTTCGTTGGCCTCTCTCCATGATCATCGTAAGCGCACCATCAACTATTGCAATGACCGTTCCATCCTATCATTCATCCGATCAACTCATTACTCTAAACGTATCACAATATTGCACTCATAGATTGCATTTATGCTCGCTGCAACTGTCTCCTTGGTGGCATGGTCGAAATAGATACAAACTTAGGCTTCGATACCAATTAATGTGGCAAAAGCTTATAAACGAAAGGATAAATGTCATTGATCTATTAATTCACGTATGAATACTAGATATTGGTCTACTACCACCAATTGATTTGCACGAATACCAAAAAATAGGTTTCAAGGTTCATTGATTCAAAGAATATTGAAAATTGAAATAAATTGAGATATTCTCTCGTAAATTATATTAATCATCCAAAAACTCTCCTTACAGACCTCAAAGGCTTACATATAAATAGGGAAAAAGAACATGAAACCCTAAACCAACAAGAAAAAATAAAAAAATAAAAATAAAAATTCCAAAAATTGAGGAAAAATCCCGAAAATCAAAAAAAGTCCATTTAAGCGGTTTTTTTTTTTTTTTTTTTTGGCCAAAATCACGTCTTTTAGTAGCGTAGCAATGGCTTTGACCCCGTTGGCTTGTTTTACATCAAACTAGGTCCAATAGACCTCAAAATTTGACTGACATTTTTAGATTCTATTAATCCCTTTTCAGTTTCACTAGTGGTCGTGCTCATACTACTCCACAAACTTTAAGGTAGGTTGTTACGCACCAAATATGTAGTTACCACATGAGTTTAGATGCTTGGAAAAGTGAATCTATTAGCTAAGTAATATCAATGACCACCTTCTTTCAGCAAATTAACTGTTGGGCTGCTACAATTATCTCTTACATATGTGTTATACAATGCCATAGGATACAAACAGTTTAAGAGATTGAAGAAACGAAATAACAAAAACAAAATAATTAAATAGCAACATTCTTGGCCACATCAAATCTTCAGGTTTGGTCACTCTTCATGGAATCGAGGTTTGGGGTATATAGCATAGTTAAAACAAGCTAATAGAGTAAGGTTTGATTGGTTATGTTTGCTCCATCACAAGCCAACCCGGACGGGAGAGCCAGTAGCACTAATCCAATTCTCTTGATAGAAAGTCTCCACGGTAAACTTCATGGCCTCTTCTTTCTTAATGATATGATAGCCAGGCCACTTGATCCTAGCATTTGTCTGGGCACCAATTCCTTTATTGTTGTACTCAGCATAATACAGAGTTTTGAGCCCAAAGTCTCCTTGCCATGGTAGCCATCCATCAGGGTGAATAAAATCACCAATTGTTGTATCCATAATAACAGTTCTTGAAAATTCCTTCCAAGGCCTCCCAAGGTAACTCCTGATCTTGGTCTTCACAGGAACCAAGTCCTTGTCTGGCTCGATGCGACAATTTTGAAGAACAATTCCTGTAGTTTCGTGTCCATCAATCCTACCCTGGGCCGTAACGATAGTTTGTTGGTCATCCAATGGTTTCCTGACGGTAATAAGGCAGTTCTGGAAGATAGCAGCTGCATCCCCAAATATGAAATCAATAGTGCCGGTAATGACGCAGCTTCTGTAGAATTGGCGGTGAGTTTGTGCATACAAGGTATCTTGGTAACCTTCAAAACGACAGTTGAGGAATATTGAACGATCAGCTTGGACTCTGATGGCCACAGCCTGATGTTTCTCTGGACCTGCTGTGTTTCTGAATCCCATAGCTTTGCACAAAAATCCTTCTCCTAACACCGCTGCAGAACATATATCTCATGTTATAATCCTGGTCTCGGATAAGGGAAGTTGGTATAGAAGTTATAATGTTCCAAAATCTCATCCCAATATTTATGTCATCTTGGCTGCTAATAAGAAAGAAGAGTTAAAGTCGTATAGTACATCCAGTGATGGCAGCCTTAGATACTTTGTCAATTCTAACTAGCGATTTGATCTACTTGGATGAATTCAAGATGTCTGTTAAACCACAACATAATATGATAAAAATGCTATTCAGAAAAAAATTCCAACTGATTAAAAATTTTGGCCCAATGTAACCGTTAGGGTCATAGTGTCGAAGTGATCAATATACCAAAAGTTGCAGTCCTGAAAGTCTGAACTCCGTCAACAAAATTTTTGTTCCCTGTCACAACGGTCTTTTGTGATCCATCACCGTACATGGTGACATTCACCATCTTCTTTGTCACTGTCACGGTCTCATCGTAAATTCCTTGTTTAACAAAGATAACGTACCTGCATTGCCATGAGAACAGAAGAAAACTTGTAAAATATAAGCAATTTTTCACCAAAAAAAAAAAAAAAAAACATGTTGACGAAGAGCACAAAGCATTGATAGAAATGGTAGTTCAAGATCTTTTTCAAATGATGAATTGTCAATTAACGTAGTAGTTTCATTTCATATACCAATACGGTAAAAATTGCTTACCGTCCTTCATATTTTGCTGGCATGGCTGCCAATGCTTCGGAAATAGTTTTGAAGTCTCCACTACCATCTTTTGCCACAGTAACATGTGGTTTTGGCTTGTCTTGATTAGCACCCTTCAAAATCCTCCGATCCTCATGACTCATCCATTCAGGAAGGCCATCCTTGTCCAATGATGGTGAATTGTTTCCCTCAGCCAGAAGGCGACGGTTAACTGCTCCCGGAAAGGGTAAATTTTTCAGTAATGAAGCCAATGATGAGACCATTGCCAGGGAATTGCTGGTGAGCTCCTTGGCTGCCCTAAAGTTCTTCTCCATATCAGATTTCAATTTCCCTTCAGGAAATCCATCAATGCAAGTTTGTTGGTAAGACATGACAGCACTCAGCCAATTGTTCAGGTTCGGGGCATTTTTAGCAAGCTTCCCTAGATCATCACCAGCATGGGTAATAGAGTCTTTCAATTCTTCTTTGGCATTCTCAATAAGTTCTAGACAATCATCAAATGCCGCTTTCTCCCTTGGCGTGTCGAATTTGAACGAGGAGGCTTTCTTTAAAACCTTCTCTATCTCTTCATCAGCTGCTTTGATTGCTATCTTGAGAAGATCTTTGGGTTGAGCTGAAGAAGGGTTCTTTTCCACTTCCTTCTTGAGGGTGTTTTGGCAGGTATCCTGATAAGTGGTAGCATTACATACCTTTTTGATAACCCTGATGACAGTTGATATCGATTTTGCGGATGGTGCAGGCTGAGATACACCTGATCCAGCTCCCTTGTTTTCCGAGCTGGTGTTGTGACTAGAAACAAGGGCAAAAACTCCAGCACCAACTATAACAAAGAAAGCAATGCTTGAAACAGCAGCAATGACAATTTTCTTTCTTAATTTTTGTTGCCTTTCTAATCTTCTTCGCTCGGATAGGAGGTCAAAATCTTGGAAAACCATTTTGACAATACCACGTTAAGAGGCAGAGGTCTCTCTGCCTTAGAATTCAGCTAAGGCAGAGAGAACAAGTGATAATGCCAAAGATGGGGAATTTGCGTTATATGCTATTTTTTAAACTTGCCTTAAAATCCTTTGGTTATGAAGTTACAGATTATTGTTGTTATGCAAATGAAAGAAGGGATCTGACCAGGAGAGTTTTAAGGTAATCTATTCAAAAGTTGGTTAATTAAGGGCTTTGCAAAAATGGGTGACACAGATTTTGTCCCTCGTCACCGCACTTCCCGCTATTTCTGTGGCCTTCAAATTTCATTGCACGTCTCTTTCTTTCTTGGTTTGCAAACATAAACAGTAACATCCAATAGGTTCGACCTCTATTGTGTTGTCTCACTCCCGGATTATTATATAGAAAACTGGCAATACCAAAAAGAGTAAATTCAATGCCAGCTCAAGGCATAGGCCTTTATGCCCAGGGCCTCCATAGAAAGGAGGGTCCTAATTAAAATTTTACTTTAAACCTACATCCTAGAAGAATGAGATAAATTAAAAGTCTGCAGCCTTCACTTTTAATTCTAGAAAAGTTTCAGAAAAATATTTGTGAGTAAAACAATTTTTAGATCTTCAATTTTTTTTATTATATTCCTTTTTTTTTCCAAACAATCAAAGTTCTCTTATAAAACATTTTCTAATTAGGTTGGTAGAAGAATCTAAAGATAATTTTTTAATTTATGCAAATAAAATTATGTATATAAATCATATAATATTTTATTTTTTTCTCAAATTTCTTTTTATTTTCTCGTGTGATTCTCTCCAGGTTTACTTGATTAGGCGTGGCAAGCAAATATAATCGAGTGCCAAAGTTTCTTATTCTTTTTATAATTATATTTTAATTTTATTATTTGAATAAAATATTTACTAGAAAGTATGAATCTGGATATGAAAAACATAAAAAAAAAAAAGGTAGAAGAACTAATTTAATCCCAAAAAAATGCATTTGATAGATTTGTTACTAATATTAAACCTCAAATACTAGAAGAACAAGATAAAGATTTAAATGAAAATATAGTTGAAAATTGTGAAGAAAAATTTGAAGATAACAATTCAAATTCACCAAAAAGTAATGAAGAATATGATGAAAATTTAGAAGATGATGTTTCAATCAATAAAAGTGAAAATATTAATGATGAAGATGCAAAAATAATTAAAAATATTTACGATCCAAGCACAATGAAAAAATTTAGACTCAAAACTCGATTGATTTATTAGTTGAGAAATGTCCAATTAGAGAAATTTTAGATTTTCCAAGAGATAAAAACTCTAGACATTTTTCTATAGTTCATTACATTCGAAAATTACCAAATGGAGAAAAACATGATAGAAAATGGCTAGCATATTCAAAAGAGTTAGATAAAGTGTTTTGTTATTGTTGTAAATTAGATAAAGTGTTTTGTTTTTGTTGTAAATTATTTAGTTTGAAATCAAATATTCAATTGGCAAATGAAGGGTGTGGAGATTAGAAAAATCTTAGTGCCAAACTTAAAAGTCATGAGACAAATAATGAATATGCTATTAATATGAACATTTGGGTTAATGCTCGATGAGATTGCTTAAAAACAAAACAATTGATAAGCATTTACAAGAGTAAAATAAATAAAGAGAAAGAGCATTGGAGGAATGTATTATTAAAAATTATTGTTGTTGTAAAAGCTCTTTAAAAAAAAATTTGGCATTTCGTGGTACAAATGAGAAGATTTATGAGAACAATAATGAAAATTTTTTTAGTTTAATTGAAATTATTGTCGAGTTTGACTCAATAATGCAAGAACACCTTAGACGTATTCAAAATGGAGATATTCATATGCATTATCTTGGTCATAATATACAAAATGAGTTGATAAATATTTTAGCATTAGAAATAAGAAATATTGTAACGCCCCTACCCTAGTCATATTTCTACTACCCAAGTAGAGTACTAGACGAAGCGTATTACGCCGACATACCCTAAACTCTAAGTAGTTCTCTTATAATATTCTTAAAACTTTAATAACACATTACGTATATAACTCATTAAGAGAAACTTTACATAACATAATTAAATACATTAATAAAATCTTACAAGCAATATTCAATTTCTCACGAACTCCATACCCCAAATTTACGGACAAAATAAAAATTAATATATGGTGCCTCACATGAGCCGCTTAGGAGGAGCCACCGCATCCGTAACAACTTGTCCTTTTTCCGTCACGACATAAAAATAACAACAGGGTGAGCCAAAGCTCGGCAAGTAGGGTGATGCACCCGATATGCAATGTTGTTTTGACTTCCCACCATACTTATAAATTTTAATCTCGGTACTTTAGGTATTAGTCGGCCTACTCTATTTATCATCCGAGTGATCCGCGATCACCTTCTACTACAACGGAATTATCCCTCGTTATAACTACCGTTAGCGAAAATCCATCGTCTAACAAAGTGCAAGCACACAGCCTTGATTTCATCCAGATGATCCTCTGATCATCTTCTCGCTACAACAGAATTATCCCTTGTTGTAACTACTATTAGCGAGAATCCATCGTCTAATAGTGCAAGCACATAGCCTAGAGTACTAGACTACTAATACTCATTTATTTCAGCTTAGGTTATCAAACCTAGATGTATAAACCATTTCTCAATCAATTGACTTGTCATAAACCACCCACTATGCACATGATGCACATGATGACATATTTAATCACATTCAATCAAATTCGGGTACCAACCCTTCATTCTCATGTCATACTCACGGTCCAACTCACATTCGAATTTACCCGTTGCTCACATACCAATCATGATACTTATAGCGGAACACAACCTCCGCTCATTAATATTGTTCATTAGTTTCATTAATATTTAAAAGAAAGTCCAAGCCCATTAACTTTATCCTAAGTCCAATGACTTTATTCAATTCCATTTTATTTAGTCCAAGCCCATTTAGTTTATTCCAAACCCATTAATTTTGTCCAAGTCTAATTCTTTGGTTTTAGGATTTATTACGAGGCAACTCCTAATCGAGTAAATAATTTTATAATTCCAAAACATAATTAAATCTTACCTATTTTATTTTAAATACTAGACATATTTATTTATAACATATCCAAAAATTAGGTCTAAATACCAAGTACACAATTAATTATAAATTTTGAAACTTAGGGAGTAATCTGCCTAGTAGTAGTTTGTCTAGGGCTCTTCGTACTAAATTGGGTATAACTCTTTGTACACGAATCCAATGACTAAGAAATTTTAAAGGAATTTATTTGAAACATAGATGAACAACTTTTATTCTTTAAGTTTCACCGATAAATAGACCTAAAATCATTGAACATGCACCCCAAAATTCGGAGAGAATTTACTCCTTATCAACACTAATTTATTAGTTCATTCCAAGCCAACTTTAAACATGTTTTAGTTCACTTAAATTTAGTCCAAGTCCAATCCAACCCATCATCACATACTTGGACATTTTTCAAAACATCATAAATTATCACAAAAAGGCATCCATACATAGATTTATCCCAAACATCAAGCATATAACCATTGAAAATTATTACAACCCATAAAATAAACACTAACAAAATAACTTAGCAAAAAAATAATTTAAGACATTAATCAGCCAAAAAAATGAAACCTATTTACCTCTTTTAGGTTTTATTAGAATTTTCTTAGCTCTTTTTCTTTCCTTTTTTCCTCTCTTTTTCTTTCCTTTCCTTTCTCTCCTCACGTTTTTTTCCTTTCTTGTCTTTCTTGCCTTTTCTCTCCCAATTTTTGATACCTACGAGTTGCTAAAATTTTTCTCACTATTTTAACACTTGCTATATATATATATATACATATATACTTACTTACCTTTAGCTACAAGTGTTAGAAATTAATGGGACAAGGTGTAAAGTTATGGGTGAGTCATGAGGCAAGGTGGTCGCTTTGGGACCATAATGGGTGAGTTGGCCTTAAATTCATTTATTGCATTTTCTTAGGTGTCTACATAAAATTTAGACTAATTAAAATCATTAATTAACTTAATTCAAGTAACTAAACCTACTTTCTTTCATAAATAATTCGAAAATTTCCATTTTTAAAATTCAAAATTTCTTTTTCCCAAAAATTCCAGCAATGTTACCTCTTAACACATCTATACTAAAATGTGTATAACTCTTTCTATATATATAGAAATATTATGATATTTTATAGAGAGCTAGTACACACATAGAAAAACAACTTTTATTCTTTAAGGTTTTCTCAAAAAGCAATCTAACATCATCAAATAAATCTCACAAGATTCGGGCAGATTCTTCTCTCAAAATTCCAGCAGAATGCATTTCAAAACAACCCTCACCATAATGGATATAACTCTTAATGTATAGGTTCTAAAATTATAAAATTTTATACAGGCCTATTCAGCACGTAGATGAACAACTTTTATTCTTTAAGGTGAACCCAAAAATCACCGTAAAGTCCTCAAATAATTCACACAAAACTCGGGCAGTAATATAGTCCTTAAAACACCGATTTTGCATATTTGATTGCTTTAATAATTAAACCATTAATCTTAAGCACAATAAATTTAATTTAGCATAAATCACATATTTCAAGCATTAATTTCTCATGATGAAATGAGAATTATACTTACTCTTAATATATGTATATATAGAATGATTCTAATACACGCCGTGTTACGGATAAGGGTTTTTACGAGGGTTACAAATACCATTATCGAAAAATCAAAGAATCAAAATATTTTTCAGTTATACTTGATTGTACTCCAGATGTAAGTTATCAAGAACAGTATGTCTCTTATATTAAGATGTGTAGATATTTCGACAATTTCAATAAACATAGAAGAGTATTTTATAGATTTTTTAAAAGTGGATGATACCTCTAGTGAAAGTCTTTTTAATGAACTTACAAGTAAGATAAAAACTTTTGAACTTGACGTAAATGATGTGAGAGGGCAAGGATATGATAATGGGTCTAATATGAAAGGTAAACATCAAGGTGTACAAAAAAATATTATTAGATATAAATTCTAGAGCATTTTATACACCATGTGGTTGTCACAATCTTAATTTAGTTCTTTGTGATATAGCTAATTCATGTGCTAGTGCTATGAAATTTTTTGGAGTGACACAACGTATATATTCATTATTTTCTTCTTCTATAAAAAGATGAAAAAATTTGCAAGATCATGTTTCGATTTGACACTTAAGCCATTATCACAAACACATTGAGAAATTCATATTGAAAGTGTTAAAGCAATTAGATTTCAAGCTCAATAAATAAGAGATGTTTTATATCAATTAGCAGTAAACTAGTGAGGATCCTACAACAAAAAGTGAAGCTATTTCTTTAGCAACATATGAGATTGAAAATTTTGAATTTCTATTAGGCATAATTATTTGGTATAATATGTTGTTTACTCGTTAACACGGTTAGTAAATATTTACAATCTAAAGATATGGATATTGCTCTTGCAATAGACCACTTGAAAGGTCTTATTTCTTTTTTTAAAAGCTATAGAGAAAATGGGTTTACATCTTCTATGATCTTGCCTAAGGAAATTGCAGAGCAAATGAATATAGAACCAAAATTTCGTAAAAAGCATATAATAAGAAGAAAGAAATAATTTGATGAGATTGAAATGAAGACATGAAATTATCTATTGAAGAATCTTTTAGAATTAATTATTTTACATATTTAGTTGATCATGCGATTTCCTCTCTTCAAAATAGGTTTGAACAATTTAAAATATATGAAGATAATTTTGGTTTTCTTTATAGTGTAGAAAAATTAAAATCACTCGATGATGATATTTTGAAAAAAAATTGTTTAAATCTTGAAAACTTTCTAAAGCACGATATGCTTTCGATATTGATGGTTTAGATTTATTTTCGAATTAAAAATTTTAAAAGAAATTATAACTATGGAAATAAAAACACCACTTGTTGTACTAAATTTTATAAAAAAGGTAAATTCTTTTCCAAATGCATAATATTAAATTAATTATAATCAACACTAATAAAAAAAACTAAATTATTAATTTTTGAAACCAAGCAGACTAATTAATTTATTTTGTAAAACTAAAAAGACTAATTTATGAGTAGGTTTGATTTTGTTTTTATCATATTTGATGAAATAAAATAATATTAAATTAAATATGATCAATATTCGTAAAAAGAAAAAGAAAAAAACTAAATAATAAATTTTAAAAGAAGGGAGGCTAATTAATTTGTTTCTTGAAACTAGAGATACTAATTTATAATTTACTCGTGGCCGGCTTTATAATATATGTGGCCCTAGGCAAAATAATATTTTAAAGACTCTTTCTTAAAACAAATAAATATTAAACATTATTTAAATTTTATTTTTCTTGCTTTCCGAGATGCAAAATCTCTAATTAAATTTTTGTATTCAAGTTTACAAAGCAAATCTTTTTCAATTGATAATATAGCCGGATTACTTAATCTTTCTTGTTACATAGTTGAATGTAAATCAGATTTTATTAATTTTAATTTTGAAAAACTTCTTTCAACTGAAGCTACAGTAACAAAGATAATTAATAGTATTTTATATCTCATTAATCTTTTCATATTTTTATTCATTTATCTATTTTTCTATTTCTTAAAGTAAAAAATTAAAATAAATTGAAAAAGAAAAAAAAGGATTAAGTTACAAATAGATTTAAAAACATAGAGATTAAATAATTGATTTTTGAAATAAAAGAGGTTAATTTAGTTTATTTTTTAAAACTAGAGGGACTAATTTATAATTTAATGGACCCAGTTACAAGCGAAAAAAAGAAGTGAATTTGCATTAGAAACATATTATATATTTTTTTTAAAAAAAAGAATAAATGTTTATATATATAGTTTGATCTATTAGGTGAATTTCACATTATTCAAAACGAAGATTTAGTAATTTTGATGATTTTTCATGGAAAAAAGAGAAATAGTGTGAGTTTCACTTGACTATTTAATAATTTTGTTATCTAAAATTAACTGAAGGATTTGGTTGAGAATTTTCCTTTTTTAAAAAAAATCTAATTGAGATGAAAAATTGGTTGGGAAGCTCACTGACATTGCCCAGGTTGGGGATTTTTATCAGGTCACAGCTCTGCCTTCTGCCATCGCTAGATACCGCCCATTTTAATTTTGATTTTTTTTTTCACACATTACGGGCTTGAATTATTCAATCAATGTTGGGTTCTAAAGCCTTTATTTTGTAAGCATTTTATCTGGGTGATGTTTTACACTGGGGGCCCAATCTGAAAAATTATACCCTTGGCCCATAAAACGACATTGGAGCAGAAAGTACAACTAATATTTTTTGGACACCAACTACTCAATAAAAAGTACACAAAAAAAGTCGTAATATCTAGAATGGTTCAAAATGTTGGGTTCCTCTTGGCTCACATGCCTGATGATGAGAAGATATATAATCTAGGAATCAAGATCCCTTGTGGGTTGTGGCTTTCGTCCTTTGAAGGTAATAGAATTACGCTGGGTGGACTTGGAACTTGTAAGACTCCGAAACTGGAGACTCTACCAAGAGATCAAAACAAATTGCAATGAACCCATCAGTCAATTAACCCCGCAACATTAGATCTCAAACATATATGACAAAGACTAGACATTGTCTAGGAATCACTCCTGCTTTAATCTGTCAGCAACTTTACTGTTAATATCCCACCGACGGAAATATCATAGAGCAATATGCAATTATTCATCAAATGGAATGAGGATCAAGATTTTCTTTTTTTCTTTTGCCAAACATCCAAAACAAAGTTGCAGTGACGTCCCACCCACCCAATTTCACTTGTTCAGCACTTGTCCCATTGCTAGATCAAAATCACTCTGCAGGATTCCTTTCCTAGCTTACATTTTCTTGCACCAACCGTGTTCCTCAGTCTGTGTATCAAAAAGGAAAGGTATACAATACAAGGCAAGGCACAAATTCATGTCAAATATTTTATTAAACCATTAACATATTTTGCTACATAAATGGCAACTGTACCGAAACTAGATTTATATCCCATCATCATAAGGAATTGAAGTGGAACCCAGCCATTGATCACCAATTATGAAATATGATACTGTAAAATCATAAGCATCATAATCATCCATTACATGGTACCCGGCCCATGTTACCCGGTTGTCAGTCCCAGAACCTGGCCCATAATTTTCGTACTCTCCATAATACAAAGTGTCAAACCCTTGATCACCATCATTAGACCACTTAGTCCAACCTTCTGGACTAATGAAATCATCAATGTAGGACTCAAGAACAACTGTCCTCGAATAAACTTTCCATGGCCTCCCTAGGTAGCTTTTAACGGTGTTTAAATTGGAGTACAAATCATCTGTAGCCAAAATTGAACAATTTTGGATCGAAATTCCTGTATCCTCATCTGGGGTTTCTCTAGACTGGGCTGTAATGACTGTGAATTGGCCAGGCATTGGCATTCTGGATATAATATTACATGCCTGGAAGATTACTGCAGCATTGCCGAATAGGTAATCTATGGTCCCGGATATGTTACACTCTCGATAAAATTGTCGAAACGAGTGCACATATAATGTATCCTGGAAGCCATTAATGGAGCACCTAAACAATGCTACTAGGTCTGCATTGACTCGTAGGGCAACTGCCTGGTGCTTCTCTGGTCCAGCTGTGTTGTCGATAGTTATGTCCCGTGCCACAAAACCATCACCAGACACCGCTGCAATTTAATAGTCACAAAGTGGCTTACCACTGTAATATAAGATGAACCATCTTAAGATGTGGTTCAATTCATATTGTGTGATTAGCATTTCTTAAATTAATCAAGTTCAGCCAAACAGTAAATGCTTAATTTTTTTAATCAACTATAAATTGGGGTTAAAAAGAAAGCACTTTTGTTTTTGTTTTTTACACACAGAACTTCACCGAAGAGACAAATGAAGGGTAAACTTGAAAAGATTTTGATACTTACCAAGAGTTGCAGATCTGAAAGTAGTCCAACCATCACCCACACTTCTGCTACCAGAAATGAAAGTGAAATCAGTTCCATCTCCAAGTAGAACAATGTTGGTTTTGTAACTTGGGATTTCCACATTCTCCTCATACACTCCTTCTCTAACACGAATGATTATTCTATCATAACTATTATTTGGAGCAAAGTTTATAGCATCAGTGATGGTACTAAAATTTCCAGTTCCATCTGTAGCTACTATAAGCTCTTCACTAGTGTCATACTCATCATCACTTTGCAAAATTTGACGATCCTTCTTGGACATCCATTTTGGAAATCCTAAAAGGCGACGGTTTTTATGATCCTGCTGCTTGCTGTGTTTTGGCTTAGGAAGCATTGAAAGCGAGTTGCTGACATGTTGATATGTACTGGTCAAGCTATTCAATATAGCAGGCTTTAAAGGACCCGAAGCAGAATCTAGGCCTTCTAAGCAAGTGTTCTTATTGGTGAGTGCTGCGCTAAGATAGGCTCTTCCATCAACTAGTTTACGAGAATCACCTGCACGGATTCTTGAAACGGATCTTTGTAAAGATGCGAGTGTGATTTGATGGAGTTCTCGGCAATCTTGGATCGTTCCTCTTTGTCTTTCAATGATGTTTGAGCCAACAGCAGTTGAGAATAGATAGGTTAGTTTTCCGGCCTCGGATATCGCAGTTTGGAGGGTTTGGAGGAGCAAGTTGATGATGTTTGGACTGATGTTTATTGAGATGGAGAGCTTTAACGAGTTAAAGCAGGCATCTGGATATGGTCTGCTATTGCAAAAAGTTCTTATGGTAAAGAGATGGGTGTCAAGAGAAGTTGTAAAGGAGGTGTTGAGAGCCCGTGTAGAAGTGAAGAAGAATGGGGAGATGAGGAGGAGAAGCAGCTTTAGAAAGGAGAAAGCCATGAGAGTTGATGCAAGGGGAGAGGCTTCTCTTAGTTTAAATGTTGCAGAGGCAAGGATGATTACTATTAATGGTCTTAAATATATATGATGTATTGGAAACATCAGTGGCACGGACTTTGTTTTAGGCTACTTTTTAATTACAAATTAAAAAAAAAGCTCGAACCCAAATCTTTTAAAGAAGGCGGACACGGGTGGCAATTGACTCCATCGATTATTTATAATCTTAGGAAAATAAGTTTGCCTATAATATGTATATATTAATCCGCAGTCTGCACTTGTATTCCCACTGTGGATGAACAAAGGGGGGTTGCATTGGAGACAGAACATGTTGATTGATGTTTTCTTTAGCTTTTTTACACTTTAATCAGCTGTCCTCTTGTTCCTAGTTGCAGGTTTATTTTATCTGGAGCAACAGTATAAAATGCCAGTAAAGATATATATTTTTCGAGAACGTAATTACGTTAAACAAAGCAACAGGAGATGGGCTTCGAAGAAGTGAAATAGAGAAAATGAAAAATATTCTAAAGCAGTAATAACTGACTTACGACCATGAATGCATGTCTCAAATGACCCCAAAAAACATTTGTGTGCAATTGCTGATAGTAGGACAGAAAGGCCATACCAGTGATTCTTAATGCACATTATTTTGTTTGCCTGCATATTCATGCATGATGTAGCCCCTCCTCTTCCAGTTCACGCTGCATTTTTGGCATTTTTTCTGATCAGGATAGAGTCATAATCGTCCCTTCAACTCCTTTCTTTCCCATTATATTGTCCCAGAAATTAACTTTTTGCTGATTTAATAATCCCTTATGTTAGTTGAAGGTTCAACGAACGCTGCTCTAAGGATATGGGGCCACTTCCCTCAACTTTCCAAGATCAAATCAATTGAACCCAAATGACTTCACTAGTTAAGTTAAATTTGCATTGATTTAAGCATTGGTATTGTTATGTAACTATGCATTCATTATATCTGATGTAGTAGAACTTTGAATACTGCTAGGTCCCTTCCTTCTAGACACTTCATTACAAAACAACAGCGAAATAGCGACAGATTAATCCATCACCGTATCAACAAAATCTACACTATATCTAATTAGCAATGGACTTGTAATGAAAAAAATTTCATAGCCAAAACACTTGTGGCTGACCTCTGAGACTGATTGAACTGTGTTTGTCGCTAAAATAGCGACTGATTATTTGTCACTAACTATTTCAAGTCCATTGCTAATTTAATTCCAAAACCATCATATTTTCACCGTATAATATGTCGCAATTCCATCAAAAATGCATCTTCAATCTGTCGTCAAATAACGACTAATAAACCATGGTAATGATCCGACACTAATATTGGTCGCAAATCCATCGCCAGTTCATCGCTAGTTAGTTGTTAAATAGCCTTTTTTTTTTCATCGTTGTTTTTTCGATATAATTTATTATTATTATTATTATTATTATTATTATTATTTTCATTCTATCACCAATCAATCTCAAACATTTTTTTATTATTTTTTATTTAATTTTAAAAATTTTGATATTATAGATAGTAACTAACAATTAAAACAAACAATTTATCATAAAAATTAATTTTTTGTATTAAAATTAAAGTATTATAAATTAAATTGAAATTAATATTCAAAAAATCATTCATTAGTACATAAGAAAAAAAAGTAAAAACATAAAAGAAAATGTAAAAGTCACTTCATATCATGATCATTTAATCCCCTCTCATCTTCTGTAGAGCTCACCGAGAGGGATGGAGGAGTCTTGGAGCTTGCTAGGAGGGACGGTGGAGTCCCGGGGCTCATTGGGAGGGACTGTGGAGTCTTAGAGATCAGTGGGAGGGAGGATGGAGTCGTCGTTAATGGAAGGCTTAGTAGGCAAGCAAGACATCCGTGCCATCCTCTATAACATCATTATAATCGATAAAATATGAGTCTTCATCCCCTGGATCTTTATCTGCTACTACGTGATAATGTTATTTTGCTCTTCTAACTTCATCCGCATTACCATCATCATCTCTTCGTACTAGCTAGAAGTCTAATCAGCAACATTAGGGTCGGGATACTACAATGTTATGGAGGAATAGTTGACACTAACCGAATGGAATAAATACTACGATGACTCTAACTCGATCTCGTAAATCCTCTTCTTTTTATGCCCTCCTATAGTTTCGAAGTATATGGTGTCCGTGTTGACCTATGGCTCCTCAATTTCAGCCTCTCGCCGCATCCTACCGCTTACTCGTATTAGCTCCTCCACGCGTTCCTATATAATCAAAATAATTATAATGTTAAAAAATAAAATAAATTTTTAGATTATATTTTCATATGTATAATTTAAAAATTAAAAAATACTTACCATTATTATTTGGGCTCGCAAATCGATAAACGTCCCATCTCGCTACTTGTGAGTGACCCCAAACAACTCTAAATTTATAGGCTCACACCCAATTTCATAACCTAGAAAACAAAGTAGACAAAGATAATATATGAGCTATAAATATTAATTTCTTAAATATTGAATTATATATGATAAGATTTACCAAGCAAGTAAGCATGCTCAAAAACAAATAAGGACCCTGCTCGTATGCTTGGATGGGCTTGAACTAACACCACTAATCTTCGACATCCGGTTATATGATGCCTACTAAGAATGCGCCCGATGATCGGGTGTGGCAAAATATTACAGCCATGAATCCGGACCTTATGCCTAACAAAAAAGGCCTTTCGTCATCTACACCATACGTGTGGACGAAGTCGAGTAGCATTTCCTAGCCAAAGCCTCCTAAGCACCTTTAGTCCGTACCTTGATGGTCGAATCCCCGTAAAAATAATTCTACATAAATATAAAAAATTAATATTAATTCATTTAATGTTAAATTAATATTTTAAATGTAATATAAACAAATAAGTAATGTGTTACCTTAAACTCATTGTAGTAAAACCATTTCATCTAGTTCGACACGAACTTCCATACTAAGCCATTGACATCCAACCGCTCCTTGAAAATCATGGTTATCCTTTCGCAGCAATCTTTCGACATAGATGGAAACTATCGAATGCCACAAAAAAACATGTAGTAATTATTGAAATGATATATTCAAATAAAAATAATAATTATAATGTTTTAATTAAATTACTTATCGACTATTAATGATCAAAATTGACTATCGAATATCGAGGCCTCAAGAGCTCCCTAGACCAGTAGATACATCAGCAGATAAAGGACCCTCTATGGGAGGCCTAGGAAGCTCGATGATTGTGGGAGCCCCAATGGTCGTGGGAAAGGTCGTGGAGGGAGACATTGGAGCCAATACAAAACTACTAGCTCTAGAGGAGGAATAAGATGAATGTCCCATGTTGTGGGACCCATGTAAAGTGCCCGAAGAGGGAGATCCACATTTGATATTGGATGGGGAACCATGTTTGCTACCATTAGTCGGTGATACACATCCACAACTACTAGATCATGATCCTTGCGATGTTGTGGGAAGTTGACGAGAACCATGAGCAATAGCCGAATAATATCACCTAAGACAATTAAAAAATACAATAAATAGATTATCAGCTATGAGTAAAAAAACAAAAAAAAAAAACCAAAACAAAACAAAATTTCTAGAGTCTCTCCTAAAAATTAGAAATTTTCTAATTACTTGATACGCAACCTACTTAAAACACAATACAACCAAAGTACATAACTAAGATTTTAAAAATATATCAAAGTCAATATGATATACTATAACAAATAAAACAACAACAAAATACATTATTTCTTACTAATATGACCAATAAAACTTATATTTAATTACAACCATCGTAATCACTATTTAAGTTTTTATCTCTCTCATTCGACATAAATTCATATTCATTCTCATCTTTTTCATAAACCTCAATGAATTCTATAGCTACAAATGATCCATTTGGATCATTCAATGATAGATCATCCTCGACTTTCCGTATCAAATTGTGTCTACCGAAATGTTTTAGTATTTTATTAGACTATAATGGATCAATCGAGCAAGTCAAACACAAACCTAGCTTTGATCTTACAAACAACCCATCAATCTTTATTATTGCACCTCATGTTAGGATACTCGACATAATATACCCGGTTCGACTATGATGCTAGGACAAAGGGTTCATAATTCCTCAATCTTTTTTTATTGTTAACATTCGCTAGTCCGTACTACGGATGAACCCTTTCTTCTTGCGATGTAGGATCAAACCAATCACATTTGAATAATACGAGTTCTCTTGATTGGTAATACAAAATATTTTACTTATAGAATTTCCATCAATGTCTAGTAGTAGTCACTCTCTATTGCACTTTACTTTGTTCCTTTAACACACACACCACTATTGAAACTCGTTGTTTCTTAACCTTCTTCTAGTATTCAAAACCTATACCCGTTAATAATATAACTCAAGTACGACTTACAAATAAGCAAAAGGCCTTATGCTAGATCTTTTATGAACCGATCTATCATGGAAATTGCTTATGTATATTTTGTCTATAAATTTAACATAAATCCGTTAAAGGTAAGTTACCATTTAACTAATGCTACTCGCTAACAAACACAAGTTAAATAAGGATACTCATATATTGACTAAACTAGGTGAGAACTCATTTTCAAGTGGAGTATCAACCTCATTCTCGAGTATGAAGAGATTATTTTATCGTACTTCGATAATGAATCCACTAACGAGGAATAACCACATACGAGAGTCGTTGTTATAATTATCAATATTATGATAAGTAAGTAAATATGTATGATTTTGATATGGAAGTTTGACAAACTTACTCAATGTATGGCTTTAATTCTTCATAGTTCAATAATACATATTGATGGGTTTTTTTGTACTCATCTTCTATCAACATTCATCTTATATGTCAACTAATTAGTCGACCTTGTTGTTTGAATACAAATAACATCCCTTCAATGTGGTTAATGGTCCATTGCACTCAATGTTATGCGGCCTTTTTTTATACCTAATATGTACATGAGGCTCGCAATAACATAAATAAAACAAAGAGGCTTCTTCGACCAAATATACATTACATATTGACCCTTCCACTTTACCCTTATTCTTGACATTGTT